AGGCGCGGAACCTGGACGCACCGCGCGCCGGGTGGTCTCGGCGCCCTCTCCTCCGCCTCTGCGCCCCGCCGACTGGCACAGTCCTTTGCGGTCCCCCCTCTCCCCGAGTACGTCCCCGCGTCGGTCCCGGCGAGTGCCGGGCTTCTACCGTTTGTATCGGCCTCGCCTGGCCTGAAGCGGAGAAAGCTGAGCCCCAGCGACTTGAGAGAGGGGGAGGAGGACGCGAACATTCGCGGGGTCACGCCCAGAGCTCCGCGTGCGACGCGGGGTAGAGGCTCAGTCCTCAGGTCTCACCACGGGTGGATTTGCTTCAACGCTTCAAATGTCTCTGAAGCATTTGGAGTCACTGAGCCCTTTCGAGAAGCTGGTGATAGCTACCGGCTCTCTTCCAAGAAAAATGCACAGTTGTGCGTTTCGCCCACAAATTCAGGGGGTGCAGGGACTCTAGTACAAGCCCACCCTGCCTCAACGAATTGCTTCTACATCAGCCCTCTCCCCTCCTCCAAGCCCTTCGGGACATTCTGCTTTCCCCCTACCCAGGTAGGCCCTTGAAGGATTGGGGTGCGGGACCCCACGAAAGGAGAACCGTGTAGCCCGCACCGTTGACAACAACCCGCTTTGCACGGCGGGAAAACCAGCGCGTTCTGAAAGAAACCAGAGTCCCTTCTGCAAACCCACTCCTCCTGCCAAGTCCTGGGGTCTCAGTCACGGGGTGAGTTCCGGATGTCGCCCGCCACTCCCTTCTCTCTCTAAACCCTGAGATCTGTCCAAACGGGGGGTGTCTGGAGGCGCGGCTTGGAGGCAGTTTAGGCAACAACTAAGACGGTCGCCAATTACTGTTTAAAACCACGAATTCTATTTTCCTCCGAAAGTGAAGGGGAATGTTGGGAGCAGCGAATTTGGGGCCCCCAAAGGAAGGGGATAGGGGACCGCCGCGGCCCGCAGCGAGCCGGCAAACCAACGAAGGCCGCGGCCCGGGCGCAGTGCGCGCCGCCTCCGCCCATATGGCGGCCGGGCCGGAGGTAATTGGAACAAACGCCGTCTGAAAAGGGCACAAAAGCCGCAGCTGGGGCTTTGTCCGCGCTCCCACGGGGAGCCGCCGGCCCCGCCGCCCGGCCCCTTTCTCGCCCGCTGCCGGCCGCCACCGCCGGGATCTCCCAGTGCGGATTAGGCGGGGCTGCCTCGCTCCGGGCTGGGAGTCCTGCCACCGCCTCCCACTCCATTCCGGGGAAAGAGGGGCCCCGGTGTCCAGCCCCCCACCCCATCCAGCCGGAGCGCAGGGAGAGGAGGCGGCGGGATTGGTGGGGGCGCACTGGTCCTCGGGGAAACCTTGGTTAATCAACCAGGCGGGGAAAAATTCCGGGCCGGTACCGCCCCCACCACCTCGCTGCTCCGAGGAGAGATTTTGTGCGGAAGGAGGCAAAGTAAGGTGAAGAAAGCCTGGCAGTGAACACCTCGGAGGACCCGCCCACCACACCGGCAGTCCAGGGCTGTGCGGCTGCAGCTCTCGAAACTTGCCCCTGCTACCCCAGGACCTCTCCCAGGAAAAAAGCCTCGCATTTTGCCCACAGTTTCTAGGAGACCTGGCCGGGTCTCAGGATCTAACCTCGTAGGCCTCAAGTGTCCGGGATGTGCCAGGCAGGTATGGGGTTCTCTTACCTGCCCCACCTCCCGGTCCGTGCATTGCCATCGAACCCACTTTTCTAGGAGAAGTGTCTGTCCCTAACCTGGGCCACTAGCTCTGAGCAGGCATACGGGAACAGAGCAACTCAGAAGTGCACATACCTCTCAGGCAAAGGTACTCCTGGAGGCTCCCCAAATTGAGAGGCTCTGGGACAGAGAGGATGGTGCTTTTGGGGGTCCACAGATCTGGGAAGGTAGGACGCTAAGCCAGTGCTGCAGTGCCCGGGAGCAAGGAGCTCAAAAAATCAGGGTGGGGGAGTTGTTATGGTAGTGGGGGAGTTGGGATGGTCACCAATCCAGTGTGCGGGAAATGAGGGGGAGGGAGAGAAAGAAGGGAGGAGGAGAGGAGAAGCGTTGAACCAAACGGAAAGCTCACCGCTGGCCTGAGCCTGGTAACAACTTCAGGATTCCCTGTTTGCAAACTTGGGCTCCTGTCTTTCTGCAGCCCCCAATTCGGAGAGTGGACATCTGGGGTTGGTCCAACCCCGGCACACACAGTTTCGATGAACCCCGTGCATATTTGCGGCTGGAGGATGGGCCAGAGTCCTGCCTAGAGCACCTGCTGACATTTGGGCTAACACTGCTAGATGCTGTGCGCACAGTCCCTGCCGCGGAACAGGGGTTGCTGCCTTCGAAGCTAGTGAGCAGGCGCCCTGAAGTGGATCCAGAGCCCCATCCCTTCCCCCAGCGCTGCTCTCCAGTGCTTGGAATCGGCTTCATGCCAAATACACCAGGCGCAAGGGCAAGGGCAGCAGCAAGGCTGTGTGTCCGTGGGGGCACGGTGCGCAAGGATTTGCCAGTGCAGGCTTTAGTATGACCGAGGGAGTGTGAGAGTCCGTGGGTCTCTCCTTCTCGGTTTATCTCAGTGAGGGCACCTGGGGGGTGGTGGTGGAATGTACCTGTCTGTGATAGTGTGCCTAGATGTGTGTCCCTGAGGTCTCTGAACGCAAGTGTGTGTGGGAGTGCGCCCACGTGTCCTGCGTGGGTGAGGATGTGTGTGGCACTGTGTATTCCCTGTGCGTTTATGTGTGTAGCACTGCTTGGGTGAGTGAGTCCCTGTGTTAAGCAGGTATCTGTGGGTGAATGTGCGCGCGTCCATGAGTCCATGATTGTGTATGTCTGTGTGACCTGGACGGAGAAACGGAGGGGTTCCCCCGGCGACGGCCGAAAGCGCGTGGGCCGGACCCTGCGCCTTCCGCCTCCAGAACGGCGCGGGCCGAGGTGCGGAGCAGCGCGTCCCTGGGCGCCCCTTACCTCCGTAGTATGTGTACGGGGTGGACCCCAACATCTCAGACTCGTCCAAGCGGCCGCCCAGAGGACGCATGCGCCGCGGACTCCGGAAGAAGGCGTGTCTCCGGGCGCCCAGCGCGCTCAGCTGTTTCATCCGGCGTTCTTTGGACCGTCGGTTCTGAAACCACACCTGGGACAGCGGAGGGGGCTGTGAGCTCGGGGTCGGACCTCCCTCCCCTCCCTCCCCGGGCCGCCCCGCTGGGTCCTAGCGCCTCTCCCGCACCAGAAGTCCCCTGAGGCGGGGGCCGGGCAGGATTAGTCCGGGAGGGGTCGAGAGGGGCCTCGGAGAACCAGCCAAGGGTGAAGGATTTCGCGGACCCGTGGGGCGACTCATAAAGACTGGGGTTTCCTGGTCCTCGGCTGGCCCGCGGCCTGACGGCTTCATAAAGGCCTCCCGCCCGGCCTGGCTCTCGCCTCGGCCCCTCGGCTCCCGAGCCGGGCTCTGGCCGTTTGTCTGTCTGCCCGCGCATCGGCGCAGGGAGGGGCTATGTGAAGAACGTCGCCTCTTTCTCTGCTCAGAGATGGGCGGAAGGGAGGGGTTCTGGACCCCGGAGTGGCTTAAAACCCTTCCTTGAACAGGTCGGGGGTGCAATTCGGAGAGGTGAAGCGACCCGCTCAAAAGCACACCGCCAGGAGGACGGCGGGGCTAGATTGAATCTTTTGGCTCAAAGTCCCCTACCTCAGGCAGGTGCCCAGCTGTCCCCGACCTCGAGCTCACCGTCTGCCCCTAGACCAGAACCCGACACGCTCTTAGCCAAGGGGGCTGGATAGGAGGTTCCCCCGAGGCTCCAGGCTCCCGGACGCAGCGGGATGGGGAAGGGTGACCCTGCCGGGCCGCACCTGGATGACACGCATGTTGAGGCCAGTCTCCTGCGCCAGCTGCTCGCGGATGTGGCGCGTGGGCTTGGGCGTCGCGGCGAAGGCGGCCTTGAGCGTCTCCAGCTGCTTGGCTTTAATGGTGGTGCGCGGGCCGCGCCGCTTGGTGCCCGAGTTCTGCTCCTCGTTCTCGTTATTGGCCGTCTCCTTGTCCGACGAGGTCGAGTTGTCCGTCTCCTTGGGGTCATCCTGCAATGGGTCCTGAAGGTCCGGGGACAAACTTCGATCCGTACAGGATGACACTGCGAGCGGACGAATCGGGAAGGGGACAGCGGCGTCAGCGGCGGCCCAGCGCCTCTCCAATCCAGTGACCGGTTCCAGCCGGCCCAGGCTACCTCCGGCCGCGCTGGGTTCCCTCCCAAACCTGCGACAGCCCCTCCTCCAGGGACCCGGCGCCCGCCCACTCTCTTCAGGCGGGGCTGGGCCTTTGGAAGGGCCTTTCTTAAGCCCTCTCAGCACATCTCAGCGATTGCCTGGGTAAGGGGGGCACACCCTCCAGGAACCCCGCCTTCCTGGAGAGGGGACAGAGGGAGCTACAGATGTCCCCAGGCCTCGGATCTTCCTCTCCCTTCTCCCCTTCCTCCAGGCCCCAATTAGTGTCCTTCCAGTGCACCTAGAAATTACCAGGAGCTCAAATGACACAGAAGGGTGAATTGTGTGGTTCCGAATTAGGGGAGGAGGACAACTTGGAAAAGTCTCCTGAATTGAAGGAGGGCAGGCAGAGCTGTCAGCTCCCGTTTCCCCTGTAGGACTGGCTCCAAACGCTGTCCCTCTTCCCCAGCCTCTAACCCCCTGGCTTTGCCCTAGGATTGCTTGCTGGGTGAGCCTGAGTAATCAGCTCCAAGCTGGGCACAGACCACACACAGGGAGCAGAGTGGAGAGTGCCAGGCTGGGACGGCAGGAGGGTACTAGGGCCCAAGGCTAGAGAGGGGCGGAGGCCTCTATACCTGAGTTGAGGCTGCCCTCCTTGAGGCTGGACGAGCTCAGGTAGTCGTCTTTGCACACGAACTTGTTCTCGTCGATGACGTACAGCTCCTCGCCGGTGGACAGCTGCTTGTTGCATACCATGCAGGTGAAACAGTTGAGGTGGAAGACTTTGCTGCGGGCCTTGCGCACCAGGTCGCTGGGCGAGATGCCTTGTGCACAGCCTGCACACTTGGTGCCGAAGCGCCTGCGGACACAAGGTGTCCTTCACTGCGGGGTGGGTCTGGTGTCCAGTCTTCTCCAGCCCCAGACCTCTTCCCATCTGCCCTGGCTTCCAAGAGGCCCCCATTTCCACAGGAACCCCAATCCTGCTCTACCTGGCCAGAGCAGGGGAAGTGGGACAAATATCCTGGGCTGTTATTGGGACTGGGACTGGCCATCCCTCCATCGGGTTTATTCAGACTCCACCAGGCTGTGAAAGGGTGAGCAGTAGGTGCAGCCTTCAGCCAAGCGGAGGGCTCAGAGAGTCCCAAGATGCCTCCCACTCCCCCACATCCCTGCCAGACCTGCCTGGGCTGCTCCAGGCAAATTCGGTTTTGGAGTCCATGAAGGATTTAAAGCCAGGCAGGCTGGGTTTGGACCACTTCTTGACCTTGCCTCCTGGATTCTTTTTAGGCTGCTGGGGCCCAAGTAGGGTCAATCTGCCTGGCCAGCTGGTCCCAGCAATGAGGTGGGGAGCCCCTCCCTGGGGCTGAACTTGAGCAGGAAGGAGGGAACCCGTCCCTCACTGGTTTCCAGAGCCAACTGGGAGGCTTTCCAACCTTCACTCTGGGACCTGCTGGAACTGGTCAGGGCCTGTGAGCAGCAGGGCCTCAGAGGGGTGGACTCTGGAAAGCAGGGACTGAGTTTCAGCACCCCTAAATCTCTGGCACTGGCAGGCAGCGGGAGAATGTGAATAGAAGGCAATCCTAAACCCTGCCTGGCCAGGACACGGGATTTCTCAATCTCCTCTTTCCCGCGTTCCTGATCTAATTCCTTTTCTTTTTTCCTTGAGCTCAGGAAGAAAGCCAGCTTCCCCCAAAGGGTAGTGTAGACCCCCAAGGGGAGGGGTGAGGTGAAGGTTGGGGGGTGGGGAAGGGCCCAGGACTCGGGGGACCCCACATCTACTCACACCCACATCTCTAAACAGGGCGAATTTGGGTGACATTGATGTAGTGAGGGCATTAGAAGCCATAAGTCACTTTTGGCCTTATCCGGCAGCGTAATTGGCCATATGCACCTTATCAAAAATCATTAGGCGCTTTGCAAGCACCGCCACATTAGGGGCGTCGGGCCTCCGGGGCCGGGGAGTTTACACGTGTAAAGGCGCGGCTGACATTTTCTCCTATTCAAATTCCCTAGTGTCGAGCCGCTGGGGCCGGCGGGCTGCCTTTCTCCGCGGTGTTAAGCACGCCCCCCTCCCCTCCTCGCCCGGAATTCGCACTCACAAAGCCGGCGCTGGGCTCCGGGTGGAAGCAGGCAGCGCTAAGCTGCCGAAAAGCCGACGGGCAAAGGCGGTTCCTCAGCATTTCCCAGCTGGGGAGACTGAGGCCCAGAAAGGTGATCTACCCTGGCCCACCTGAGGGCCCGCCCGGGCTGGGGAGAGGGGATAGGTGACACAGCCCAGGCTAGACCTGGGAGGTCCTGATTCTCAGCTTCGGTTTCGTTTGTGCTTTTCAACATGGGTGAAAATGTTTAAGGGGTTGGGGGGTGAGGAGGGGGATGTTCCCTCCCACCTTCACCAGGGGAGATCTTCCTGGCTGGGCCCCCTCTGGAGCTGAGAAGTTTCTGTTTGTCCGGGAGGGCAGCCTCTGGGCTCACGAATTCTGCCTGGAGGGAAAAGCCTCCAGCCACCCCTAACTCTGGCAAAAATCCTTCCTCTCTCGCAACGGCCTTGAAGCTTCTGTCCAGGGGTTGCAGCCGCCGGGAAGGGGCAGAGATGAGTGGAGAGCAAGTTTATCAGGGCTTCCTCCCCGTGCCCCACCACCGCTCCGAGCTGGCCTGGAGGAGCGAACGTGAGGCAGCGAAGCAGCGTCCTTCTTCCTCCGCCCGGGCTGGGGCCCTTTCCTGGACCCAGGACAGGAGGAGAGCAAAGTGCTGCCCCAATCCCCATCTAAGCCTGTGGGCCCTGGAGCTGGGATGGGTTTCGTGGTCTCCCCTTCCCCAGCGCCCCAGTGGAGCGCGCGCGGGGCAGGCGCGCAGGCAGCAGGGCGGCACGGCCTCTTACCTGAAGAAGTCATTTTTGCAGTAGAGCTTGCCCTCGCGAGAGAAGCACTTCTCCGAGAGGTTGGTTTTGCACTCGCAGCACTGCACACATTTAATGTGCCACGCGCGGTCCAGCACGTTCAGCAGAAAGCGGTCGAGGATGGGCCGCTCGCAGCCGGCACAGTGCACCATCATAGCCCCGAGCCCCGGCGGCTCCGGCCGCCTCACCCTCCCCTTGGGCCCCTGGCCCTCGGGCCTCTCGGCCCCGACCCTGCGCTCCGCCTCTTGTCTCGGCCGCCACACGGGCGAGTCCGGTCCGGACCAAGACTCAGCCGGTCAAGTCCTTGGGCGATCGCTGGCCTGGAGCTGGGTTGCCCAGAGTGGAGTGGGAGGTGGTGGCGTTCACAACCTCATGCCACGGGCCGCGCGCGCCGGCGCTTGTTCCGGGCTCCCCCAGGTGTCTCGGGTGGCTGTTGGCCTCGGCGCTGCGGAGCGGCTTTCCCCGGTGGCGGAGGCGCCGGCACTTTCCCCCACTTTCAAGCAGTCCCGATCCTCATCTTTGTCTGGCCGCCGCCTAATTCGCGCATCCTTATTCAGATTTGGTGACGTGGCGCGGCACGTAGGGGGCCCGGCGGCCAATGGGCGCGCCGTGGTCATGGCAACCTCTTAAATTTATAGCATATCTAAATTGGCTACAGCGTTGCGGTCCGCACAGAGCAAAAAAAACAAGGCATCAGTATTGTTGAGTATTAGCTTGTACCTGGTTCGGAGGCTAAGTAAGTATTTACCTTCCAGTTTGGGGCTGGGGGGCGGGGGCCGCGCGATCCGAAAATGCGTCTCTCTTCCTCTCTCTCCTCACAAATATTTGGGGCCAGGGTTCCAAGGCCTAGTCGGGGAAGGACCCCCGCCCCCTTCGCCATCCCTGGAACTTGGAGAAGTTGCCCAAGGCCTGGAGCGCGCTCTATGTCCGCCTCCCCCTCCCCAGCCCAACGCGCCCATACTGGACTCCCCCACACTCGCGCCCCTGGGGTCCGCGCCCTGGAGCTGCGTCAGCGCGGTTCTCTGGCTCCCCGAGCGCGCCGGGCTCCTTTTGTCATACACCGGGCTGGGGCCCAGCCGGGCCTTTCTCATGGAGAGAGAGTTGAGGCCGCGCGGCTTGGGTAGCTTTCCCCGCCTAGCCGCGGGGCCCGTGCCCAGGCCCAGGTTGGGGCGAGTGGTGTCATCTGGCCTGGTCCGGAACTTCGGAATTTCAGGCCTGAGCTCGCCGCTCAAGGGGCTCTGGAGGAGATGTGGAGGGAGGAAGGGAGATCCAGAGTGGACGGGTCTTCCCGCAGACAGCTCAGAGGTGGCGCAAGCCAAGTCTCTTCTTTCCTCGCCGCACCTTCCAGATCCCGGGTCAGCCAGTCGGGGCACCGTGGTGAATGGCAGGGGACGCTAGCGTCTGTGTGGGCGCTGTTTGCACTCACGCGGCGTGCGGGCTGTGTGTGCGAGTTCAGCCCCTCACAGAGCGAAGGAGGAGAGGCGCACATGTGTTTCGGGCTCCGGAGGGCGCCGAGGGTGGTGGGAACTTGTGTGTGTGTGTGTGGGGGGTGGTGGTGGGGATTTGAGGGGGGGGGGAAGAAGGGACCAGGCCCCCTTTCCCTTGGGGCCAACCCGGCCAGGCCACCGGCCACCGGGCGCTCCAAAATGCGGAGGCCGGAAATGCGCGGCCGGCGGGGATATTTGCTTGGCTCCTGGAAAGAGGGACGAGGGGTCCTGGCCCCAAGCGCTGGAGCTAAAGGAGTGTTTGTGCTAAGGCTTGGCTGTGAACGTGTATTTACTGAGTTTGCTAGTACACATTCGCTGTTTGAGAATTGCATTTTTGCATCTGCTTCTGGTGTGTTAGTAATTAATCGTGTGTGAATGCATTTTGGTATGTGTATTTTTTGTGTGCAGATTTACGTGTTTATAACTGTGTGTGGTCCTGCTAATGTTTGTGTGTATTGATGTGTTTATTTTTATTTATGTTGATCTGTGTCTATGTGTGTATGGTTACTTGAGACCGCACAAATGTGAGAGTGTTTGCATCTGTAAGTGTGCACTTGTGTAAGATTGTGGTGTGTGCTAACATTGATGTGAAGGTGTCCTTTAAAAAAATCTGTATGTGTGTGTTTCTGTGTAGGTGAGCGTGTGCGTGCTTGAGACCCAGTGTGTATGTGACTGGGCTGGGTTGTGTATGTTTGTGAGTGCAGAAGTTTGTAGATCTGTGTTTGTGTGCCCATCACTATGTGTGTGCCTGTGTGTGTGTGTGTGTGTTTGTGTGGACAGCAGTATTTTCATTTATTCGACTTCTGTAGGTTTTGGGGGGTATGTATGTGTGTGTACTCCTAGCAGCACTTACCTTCATGGATTGAAGAGGAGCAGGATTTGTAGGTGTTTGTTTGGGGATACAGAGATGCCCACTGGTTCCCCTGTTCCTCTTAAGGTCTAGCACTGTTCCCCATATTCTCTAGGGGAGGTGGTCTCGCTGGGGACAGGGAACTGATGGGTGCTGGTCACTGGGTGGAGCACTGACCCATTAGGGGGGTCTCTGGAAAAGGAGTCCCCAACCTGGGCAGCTTCTGCCTGTTGGTCCTGTTACCTGATCCTCCAGCTTGTCTACACAGCATAGTAGTGAGGCCAGTTAAATCCGGGCTTAGGCAGAAACAAGCAGGATAGATCTGGCTTGGCCTCCCAGGACTGGGCCAGAGAGGCTCCCAGAGCTCCAACTGAAACTGCAGTTTCTGGCCACACCTGGCCCTGTCCATCTGGGGCATGGACGATCCTTGAGCTCTGGAGGGCAGAGATGGAAAGAAATAAGAACTGAGAGGAGAGAGGTGCCCAGGCTCCGCTG